TAAATATTTTAGATTTGCTCTACTGCAGTCTCACTCTAAAAATCGAAACCTATAAAAAATGTTTAAAGATTAATATGTACAGAAAATAAAGAAAGCCTCAAAACTTTAATTCTAATACCCTTTATATACATAGTTATTTATCATTACTTTTTCATTCGTTGATTAAACATTTTATTCATTTTAAATATTTGTTGTTTGGTTTGTTTTCTAGTGTCAGATTTCTCTTCTATTTTGAATGGATTTATTTCTATTTAAATTTCTTCAATGTAAAATTCTACTTTTTTGACAGGTTTCATACATTTCTCTTAATTGTTTGCATTTTAAATATTTTTTTAGGAAATTTTAAAAATTCTTTCTCTTACTGTTAACAATAACAAATATACAAATAAGAGAAATGAGTGTCCAAAAATGTATGTTTTGTTAAAAACAATAAACATTTTATGCATTAAATTTGATGATCTTTTTTTCTATTGTGCAAATATATTTTTGTAAATGTGGTTGTTAAAAAAATGTCTCAAACTTTCAACTTACATGAGTCATCAGGATGTGTAGGAAAAGAAATTAAATCTGTTTAAAAATATATAATTTTATTATTTTTTAAAAGTTTAAAATTATAAGCATTATATATATATATATATATATATATATATATATATATATATATATATATATAAAACATATATATATTGATTTATTTATTGCTTCTATTTTTTTATCCTTCCATATTTTCATTTTTTATTATTGCTCTTCTTATTTTTTTTTTCCTCCTTTTCTTTCCTTCAAATCTTTCTTTTCTTAATCAATACCACTTTTATTCACTTTATATTTCTCTGATTACAGTTTACTTTTCTCTCAGTAATTTATGTTTGTTATTTCTTCCTTCCATTCTCACATTAATGAAATTCATCTTCTTTTTCTCTAAATACCAATTTTCCAAAATAAGATTCTTTTCCAATTTTTTCTTCAATCCTGCTTACAAAGCTCCCAAAGCATCACAAAAACATAATTCATTTCTGTCTACCATGAAAATATGCCACTACAGTAAAATGGCCATTTCAATTTTCTGAATTCTTTTCAAAATTTCTAATTAATACATTTCCATTTGATTAACTTAGAATCTAGTTATCTTTTTTTCAAACCTGGAATTTTTTTGTTGAAAAGGTTGAGGCCACCCTAGAGTAGTTAAGACAGGAATAAAAAAAATGCATTTTATGCCAGAAACCTAATTGTCTGTCCTATTGTCAACTATGAAGCTCAATTTTGTATTTTTTGTATACTATAATTCTAATTGTGGTTGATTTCCAGTGATTAAATTTGTGTGTGTGTGTGTGTGTGTGTGTGTGTGTGTGTGTGTGTGTGTGTGTGTGTGTGTGTGTGTGTGTGTGTGTGTGTGTGTGTGTGTGTGTTGGTAGGGGACAAACAAATGAATTGTCTTGAAATATAACTGTTGAAATCCATTTAAAATATAGGATTTTCTAAGTACTTACAATTTGTCTAAAATTGAGACTTTCCTATTCTATTACATATTTTCATTATATAACTGTCAACTCTCTCCCCCACAAACATGCACATATACAATTTGGAGGTTGGAAGATAAAATTGCTAACAAAATAAATTGACATATATTTATTATCATAAAAATAATAACTTTCTGTATATTGTATTAGTGTATTTATATATATATATATATATATATATATATATATATATATATATATATATATATATTTAGTTTATGAAAAGCTAGGTAATCCGTATGGGTAAACCTAAGGAGGATAAAATCCAGAGAGCTCAATGTAAATCCAGAGCAAATAATTTAAAAAAAAACAGACCACTTTAAGGTTCCATGTAATAAATTATTTCACTCTTTTTTTTAAAAGGACTGCAGATCATCAGACCTTACTTCCAAACGAAAAATGAAGAGAAAATTTACACATTTTTGATGGGCCATTCACTTCCTCACTTCGTTAATTTACATATGTTTAATACGGCCCATCAAATATGTGTAAACTTTCTCTTCATTTTTTGTTTGGAAGTAAGGTCTGATGATCCGCAGTCCTTTTAAAAGGGCTATGGTGAAATAATTTATTACATGGAACCTTAAAGAGGTCTGTTTTTATTTAAATATATATATATATATATATATAAAATCTATGATGATTTATTATCCACTTGTATTTTTCCAGTTTCTGTAATATTTCTAATGTGTTTATAACAACAGTATCAGGGTCATCTTAAATGTCTAATATTTGTATGTTTTTGGTGTGTAAAAATTAGTTTTGTATATTACAGTCTTATGTTCTAATCAATCATAACGATTTGTAACCATTATAGGTGATGGATGCTGTAGACAACCACTTTTGTTCCTGCTTGAAATCTGATTTATCACTGAAAGGTATCAACTTAGTTACAAGGAATTAAGTTGTTAAGGCATATCAGTTGTTAGTCCCACACATAAGCTACTGAACAATCTTTTTACTAGTATAGACTGCACAAAGAGTACAACGCTCATGTTATTTCTTTATTCTAAAAAGAATGCATTTATATTTTCATTTTATAACTTTTTCTTTCACTATTTCTTTTTCTTACATTTCAGCTGTCAGTTATTCTCACCATAGATATAAATTTTGTTTTCTCTTAAGATATTTAAAATAATGGGAAAAAGAAGAAAAATTTGAATTATCAAAAAAAAAAACAAAATAGAGGATACTAAATTTGTCTTCTCCATATAGGAGAGTTCTTTCAGTTTCTGATATTTTGCATATGTCAGTGTCAAAGAGAATTACTAACACAGGATAAAAGGAAAAAAGATTTTGGCTAGAGTAAATAAACTCTACCTGACAGATTTGATATTTTCACTTTGTTACTTGGTGAGGATATCATTAAAAAGACTTTATTTTGGGCATCAAAACCATGACTAGATGAGTCAAATATATGACAGCACAAATTTTCATCAATTATTTAAATATTTTCCTATAAACATATTGTAAACTTAGCAAATGTACATCATTTTGAGATGCTAATGTATATTTATGGCATCTTATGTAGGTAAATCAATAATTCTGTCACCTAACAGTGATATAAAGCATTTATTTTACATAGCAATTATTTATTTTTTAGCCTAGTCACATTTTTGTTAATGTACCTAACCCAATGTTTCTCCATTAACTGCATATATGAAACATTATACAATGAAAATTTCAGATCAAAATTCATCTGATATCTCTGTTAGGTTGCAGACTTACTGATCCTCCCTGTACACATTCATAAAATGTTAACAACGTCACTATTTTTAATGTAAGGAAGCCAAAATTACTGATGTGAAATAAAAAATCAAATCAAATACTTTTCAATATATATTGCAGAGTTTTTTTTTCTGTTCACACACTTCTATCTATCTATCTATCTATCTATCTATCTATCTATCTATCTATCTATATATATATATATATATATATATATATATATATATATATATATATATAAATATATATATATAAATATATATATGCTATATAAGTATAATTCAATTGCATAAAAATTCTATGTGATATCAACATATATATGTATAGACTTTCTGTTCAGTTCATAACATATCACATGTACAGCTTTACAAAATAACTGGAATTTGATGATATTTCAACCGAACTGCCTGTCTTAAACAGGAAGTTTTTAGTGAAATTGAAATCAATGGCTTAATTTGATATAGTAATCACCATCACCCAAAAAGAAATTTACAATTAATGTTTAAATGCTTCCCTTATGTATCAATTCAAGGAGAAAGCACAAATTTCAAATCTGAAAACAACAGCAGCTATATTGCACCTTTGAATATTTGCACATATTTTATAATTATTTTTACACTGATATAGTTGGATTTTTTAATGAGGTTTCTATAAAAGATGGTCCTTTGGAATTTGAATGATTTCAATCTTCTATCGTTCAGCACCAATTATTCTAATCTTAAAGGGATTGTAAATTTTTGCTGACAGTTCGATATAAATTAAATGCATGAATCCTAATTTTCTTGTGTTCTTGCTGCGGGCCAATCAGTCAATCATCTTAAGTTTGTGTGTTCAGTAGCATGTCATGTGGTCATGATTATGTGACATTCTCTCTCATGAATGAATAATGTTTTACTTTTAAATGCTAAAAATAAATAAAAGTGATACTCAGGCTATGAGACTATTACCTACTTATCCTTGGTAAATATTTTTCATTAAGGCTTGTTTATGATGATTTTGAAAGTATAGACTAATGAAATAATCTTATTAATTCTTTTCAGTAATAAAACTCATTTAAGAGAAGGAAATATCTTTTATTGAAATCACAGCATTGACAGTGATTACATTTACTAGGTCATAGGAAGCAAGTTTGGCACAAAACAATGAGCAATGTTTTCTGTGAATCAAACTCACTAACCTCTTATTCATGACAATATGATTAAAATTACCTCTTGACATTTCCCTAATGTGGAGAGCATATTTTTTCTTGGACTATTTGTGAGAATACATCAGGTTAGTCTATGACAATCGCAAAACAATGTTTAAATATATGGTAAAAGAAGATTGAAGCCGACATATTTCATGATATGTAAAAAAGGATCATTAATAAATCTTCCGAGAGATTGAGTGAAGAATATACACAGCAAAAAACATTCCTTTTGAATGTAGAAACTATACTGAAGCTTTTAAAAGTTATGTGAATTTAAGTGAAATTTGAAACCATTTGAATTCTGAGTCAATACAATTAGTTGGTCTTTAAGATTACTTTTTTTTATTGGGGCAATTTCATTTATTTATTTGATGAAGTGATATTTCTCAGAAAAGAAAAAATAACTCAAGAGAAAGTAATCAAAGTAAAAAGAGTAAAGAAAAACTTTTAAAAAATTGAGAAAATGAAAAAGAGAAATCTGATGGGAAAATTGGTTGAGAGTTTAAAAGGAAAGCAAAATGAATAGCTAATTGAAAAGATGAAAAACAAAGAAGTAAAGAGAGAATCTAAATGAGAAAAAAGTGGAGAATAAAAGCAAGAAAAAATAATGAAAAGAAAAGTGAAACAAAGAAGTAAAGAGAGAATCTAAACGAGAAAAAAGTGGAGAATAATAGCAAGGAAAAATAATGAAAAGAAAAGTGAAAAAGAATTAAAGAATAAAGTAAGAAATGAAAAACTGATGTATAAGAGTAAAGATGAAGGATTGTGAAAAAGAAATAGAAGAAGACTATTGAAGGAGGAGGAGGAGGAAAAGAGAAGCAAGGAATGAGAACTTGATGAAAGAAAAATAAAGCTAACAAAATTACTGAAAGAAATTCAACCAGATCTCACTAAATCCCCAAAACCCTTGACTTAAAAAAATGTCGACAGAAGAAAATACTTGCAAAACAATACCAAATAATTTAAGGAATTTTCTGACACTCCCCGGAATAGTAAATGTTTAAAACATTTGCCCCAAGAGCAATGTATAAGAAATATATATGTGTAGTCTCCTTAGACATGGTAAGCACTCATCATCATCATAACTTTCCCTCTACTAATTTCATCATCAGCATAGTCTTCATCACATTTACTATCAACATTATCTTCCAGCATTTTCTATGACCATTTTATTACTTTCTTTCCATTTTGTTATTAATTATATCAACATCACCATTATTGTTACCATGCTTTTCTTGCTGTTTCTTTTGTAAATATAATTCTATCATCATAGCTAACAGCTTTACACTACATTTTCCCTTACTGTCACATCATCATCATCATCATCATCATCATCATTTGCAGCATTAATATTTTTTATCAACATAATGTCTGAGATATAGTAGAAAATGCCATTACCTATGGAGCAAAAACAAAAGTTTATTTTAAAAAGTGTCAAGAGAAATTCCTTCAAATGCAAATGCCCCATGGAAGTGAACTAGCCACTTGTTTTTTCTTCTGTATCTTGATTTTTAAATTACAAAAATATTTTCTGCTGTTAAACATGTTAAACATGTTTTCCTTCAAATGGAAATGTTGGCTTTATTAAACTTTCTCCATTCTGCCTTATTTCTTTTTACTATTTTATATTGGCCTCAGAGCTATGATTATCACCGTTAACACCATACTACACTTCTACTTCTACCACAACCAGCACCCAACAAGAAATTAATCACTGCCATCACTACTACGCTATTATTTTCATTATACTCTCTAACACTAGCTGCACTACTAGAGGCACCCTTTCTAGCAAGCAGTTACATTTTCTAAAATCTTTTTAAGTACAATGGAATCATCTAAAGTAATCTGATGTTTGTTTCATTAAACTTTTCCAGATGAAAGTTTAAAAAATGAGATATAAATACATTTAATTAATGTTATATACTTTGTACAATTCCAAGATTATAAAACATTTTTTGTAATGTTCAGATTCTCTTTCTCCCTTATACTTGATCTAGTAAAATTAAAATTGGTATAAATAACAATAAAATCCTTCAAAAATTGATTTTGATGAAACTTCAAGGTCACTTCTATTGGCTCACTAAATAATGACATTTTAAAATCTGGTAAGCAATACATTTGTTTCGGAATTAATAAGTTAGTCACTGTAAGAAAGAATAATGTTCTTAGTTCTTTTAGAATTAATTCTCTTGGTGAGATTATGTGAAATTTTATATCAATGTAAAATGACTTTATAAATAAAAATCAAAATAGTAAATAATAGAAACCTATATTGACTGAATAGGAGAAGCAACTGTATGTTTTGATAGGAGTGCAACAATTTTTATAATTGATTTCTATTTTCTGTCTTTAACTTTGAAATAAAAAATATGCATGGTGGATTTAAATTCTAGTTTTTTAAAGATCAAAATTTTTAAAACAAACCAAGTAATGATTAAAAAAGAATTTCTACATTTTTTCTTTCATGTATTTACCATTTGAAAATGACAATGGTAAAAAATTGACAAACAAGCAGTTAAACACATTTTTCCCATGATTTATTTTATTGATCAAGAGAATTCAATTTAAAGGGAGAGATTTACTTTTAACACAATATAAGAGATTCATCTAAACCATTGTTTTGTTTTACTTGTTCAAAGTTCAAAATCATTTCATTGGTGGCAGATTTAAAACCTGAAATAAAAGTGAAAGCTGAATTGGCTGCCTTATTGCTGTAGGTAAATTCATTCTTTGACTTTCTTTAGATTGTGGTATGATTTTATTTTCTATTTTTTCTTGAAATAAATCAGAATTCTGCCCAATTATTATGAAGCACTTTAGGGCTGTCATGTGAATGCTCAATGTTATTATTTTTATTGATGTTGATTTTTAAGAAAAACAAAAATAAAAGAAAGATTTTGAAAATGAGGATATGGTTTTTCCAGATTTAATAATTCTTGTGAAGAGTTCCTCTTGAAATAATGATTCCAATAATCATGATACTAATGGAAATGATAAGAAAAAAGAGAAAAAGATCCAGAAAGATTGGAAGAATATCAGTTGAATAAAATGAGAAAATTTTGATGAATCAAGAAAAGACAATTGCAGAAGAACAGCAGCAAAAAGATTTTTGTTGTGGAAATGAGAGAAACATAATGAAAATATAAAGAAAAGACTGACAAGGTTTTGAGAAAAAATAATACTATTAACTAACACTATTGTATTTAATAATGTGTAGGTAGATGATGAAGATACTGATAAAAGAATGAGAAATGGTATTAGGAAATTAGTAAAAAGGAATGATGATAATAATGCTAAATAGATTGAAAACAAAAGTAGAATAAAATAATTTAAGGATAAGGATTTGGATGATGATGATGATGATGATGATGACAATGAAGATGATGATATTTATGGTGTTCTTTTTTAGAACAAGTGACAATAGATTAAAAAGATGAAACGGAAAAACAACTGATAGTAATTAAAATAATAAAAATAACAGCAACAACAATAATAATCCTAATAATCCAAATACTGGTTTAGAGAAAGATGATTATTGTGAGATAAAACCTTTTATTCATACTTCTACTAATAATAACCAAAAGCAAATAAATAGAAAAGATAATAAAAATTGATATCGATAACAAATTAATGAATGCATAAGATGAATGCATATATCTGAAGAAAATGCAAAAAAAGAATTTATTCATGTTAATATCTTTTCTGACATTTGTCTTTCAAGTAGATTCTCTTGACTTAAAGAATTTTCAATTACTTGTCCTAACCAATCAATCTGTCCATCTCCCTTGAAGTAGCCCTGAGCAGATTGTTTGGGAAAATTTGCAGAGAAAGAAAACAGCACAAGCTCACACCCTCTCCAACCTTCTACATTACAAAGAAACTTTTGAAGTGATTCATATAAAGTCTTGTTCCCTATCACTCTCTGTATAGCAACCCAACATGACACACATTCTTTTTGCCTCTCCTGGCACAACTACATTTAGCTTTTCAAAGATGAAGCAAAGGATTTATTTATATGTTAATTGTTGCTGTTATGCTTTTTTAAAATTAATTTTCATGCCACTAGTGTGTGATTGGAATACTGGGGATAAAGTGACAGCAAGTTTTCACAATACTCTAAAACTCATCTCATCATATTTGCTAATTAAATGATTTCAGTTCTTCCTTGGGATTTTAATTCTTCCATTCATTTTAAGTCTTCAAGTTTTTCAGTAATGATGGTTACAAGAATCCCCATTTTCTTATCTCTTTAGATCTTTCTCTAGTATGATCCAAATATTTATCCTACTTTTTACTTCCATTCAACTTTGCTTTGTGCTTCATTTAGATCAATACATTCACTTCCAGACAAGTTATTTTGTCTTTGTTTATGTTAACAAGATTTGCTTCTCTGGAATATATAATCAGTTTGAATTTCCCAACCCCAAACATTTTTGCTTTTATTTTTCAGGACAGTTTCTGGATTTTTTATTTTTTGTCTACATGGTCAAATCCAAGTTGTTTGCATATTCTCATTCTTACCATGTTATACCAACTTTTGTTCTCTAAACAAATCAATGACATTCACTTATCATAAAATGCACAATTTTGTGGCATACTGATTATCTATTTACTGTGTGCAATCCATACATTTTTAATTTCAGAATCTATAAAATCTCAAATGATATTTAGTTCTCTTCATGTAATGTTAAGATAATCTCCAACCTGAAGTGCTTTATGCATACTTACTAATTTTCTGCTTCTCTGATCTCTTAATTTAAATTATTTTCTTGTTTTCTTACTTGCCTAAATTTTATGCTTTTCATATGATTCCTACCGTTTTCTCTCATTCCCCCAATTTTTTAAATATGCTTTTGCCTTAGTTTTTCTTCTATTTCTGCTTGATTTATTAAGTCTACTCCCCCTATTTCAAGATATGTGTAGTAATTCTTGCATTCACTTATGATTTCATTTATGGCTAAATACATTTCTTCAGTTACTTTCTCTTTTCTTTTGGTCATTTATTTATAATTTCATTTCAATGTTTTGGTTAAATATTCTCATAGCTTCAACTCATGCTTCAAGTTAAATTGCTATTATTATTAATAATGATATTATTATTGTTGTTGCTGCATTTATTATGATGTTTACTTTTTATTGCTTTAAGAACTTTAAAACAAGTTTTTCATTATATTACATTTACAGTTAGTTTTTTTTTATCCTCTATTTTTAACTTTTGCATACATTACACTTTTTCTTTAGCTTCAACTTATTCAGTTATCTCTCACTTAAGTTTTTCATTTTTTTATTATATAAATTAAATTTTATTTTTGGCCTTTGGTATACATTATAAAATGATAAAGTTTACAATCATTAGTGCTAAGTTATATTTTGAGCATAGTTAACATTTTATTTTTACTTTTAAATCTCTCTTCTATTTGATTTCTTCTTTGTGCAATATTTATTTTTATTTATATTTTATGTAATCTTCTTCCACATATAAATGCCTGAAGGCAAAATATTATAAATTTTATCAGAGTTGCTGTATTTTTGTTTATTGATTCTAATATTGAAAATTATAGAAAATAATAAAAAAAACCTTTTCAGCTATTATGTCTATTTTTATGAAAGGCAAAAATGCAGCTCAGATACAAAAAAAGCAGTTTATCAAGAATAATAAAAATGGTTTACAAATTTTCAAGTTTGCAATTTCTCACTGAAAAATGATGTTCCACTGTCAGGTAGACTAGGTGAGATTGATCAAATGAACATATTACTTGAGAATAATCAATATTATATCATGTGAGAAATAGTCAACAAATTCTGATTTAAATGGTGAAATTGTTTGTATCA